ATCTAATACAAGAAAAAATGTAAAAATTGTATCATCATTAATGTAATATAGTAAAACAAATTACCTAATAAATAAGAAAAAATATTTATACATATATATTATATTGGTCTATATTAAATGTAGAGATTATCGTGCATAATTACTTGCTGTTTTATATATAAAAAAGAAAAAGCTAACAAGTTACATTAGTAATACACATCTGAATTTGATCATATTAAAGTTTGAAATGTAAATAAACATTTCAATTACTTCTATGCATACACTTGGAAAATGTAATTCATAAGTTCACTCTTAAAATGATCACAATAATAATTGAATATGACTATCTGTTTATCAAACAAAATATCCATCGTTACAGAGTGAGGAAAATCTCAAATACTAGATGGAGCCAATTATGAACATAAAAATTAACTCAATTGGCATGTATGGCAAGAATACATGCCATGCCCACTGCAATACAAGTTTGTTTATTGTATTTACACATATATGGCTCTATAGGTGCTTAGTCACCAAGGAATCAGTTATAAGATCAACCTATCTCAAATGTTTACCCTTTTCCTTGACTTTTAGAAAGGGTCTTTTGAATTATTTCATGGTCTTAAATGTTATCAAGATTTTGATAACAATTTAATAATGATATCAATAACAATAATAACTGTATTGATATCAATTGTATCAAAAAGAAAAACATATATTCCTGCCAATTCAAGGAATGGGGAAATCAGGATTGGTCACAAGGGCCAACTGACAGACTCATTGCTGGCTGAGCACATATGGAGCCATCTGTATGTAACAAAATTCACAAAAAAATACTGGGGACAGAACATAAACCCATGGTGGTTGGGTTAAAGATAGTAAATAGTGAATAAATAGTGAAGAAATGATGAAAGTAATAAATTGTGTGCCGATTAATACTGCAGTTACAATCATTACAGTTAACATTATCCTTATCATTATCATCATCATTATTACAAAAAAGTTTTTGGCCTGACAATATGGGTATTTTTTCACAGATTTGTAAATATAGACAGATGTATGGCAATATGAATTATTGAATTAGAAGTGGTTATTTTGAACATTAGTTGATTAATCATACCACATAGGTTTTGGTGTCTTGTCTTTGACATTTTTAGACATCACTTCCAGTGTTCCAGAAATTGAGGAGTTTATGACTCATATGTGTAGCTTAAGCTCTTACTCAGGATCATGATAATAACTCTATTTGAATTAATGGTTATCAATACTAGTACCTATATTGCAAATGTTATGAATGTTATTATAAGTAATGATATCATTTCAACCCAATGGTGACAGGTGAAGAAAACAAAAAACAAAAAAACTCTCTGGCAAACAATGGCGGCGTGCCGACTTTGAGCGCGAGTTCGGTACATCAGCCCGAATCACTGGCTCACCACACACCAGCTTTCGAGCGGTTTGTTTTCACGCCTATCGGCGTCACCCGTCGGGAAGGGGTTAATATTAGTGCCAATTAAGTGTAATTACTCTCCAAGAGATTTGTGCCCATCTGCTGGCCAAAATTCTTATGAAGGCAAGTTCCCCTCACCCCAGCCCTCAGCAAATTTTTCCATGTTGCTATGTTTGAGCTATCCACCCCTAAAGTCAAATCTTTTCATGACTTGATTTTCCCGTTATCAGGATCATAGTGGTTAATAATGATATATTTAGTATCAAACTTAAATTGTAGACATCTGTGATTGCATCTTTGCAACAGCAGACTGTTAAATAGTCTGCCAACCAACCAAAGTGATGAATAGTAATACAGAATATCCCATAAGAATACATTATAAAAGGGTGCAATATGGACTGCACCATGATATCCAGTGGCTTGCTCAAGCATATAGCCTATATGTATATTCTTAAAATAATTCTAAAAAGAGTAAAAGATGCATTTCTTTTAACCACATGCCGCTGGGGAAAATGCTGCGCTCACTTTTTTTTTTTTTTTTTTTTTTTTTTGTGAAATATGTCTATACAAAGATGGCTCTGCTAATGCTTAGCCACAAAGGAGTCAATTAGTAGACCTTGTGACCTTATCTAATTTCACCTTTCCTTGAATTGACAGGAAAAATGTATTTTTCAATAATACCATGAATATCAGTTTTATTCTTATTATAAACTCATAATTGGCTCATTGGTGATTTAGTACAAGTGTAGCCATTTATGTGTAAAAACAGTTAACCCATTGCTGACGGGCATGAAATGTACATGACATACCCACTGTGAGTTTACTTGTTTAATTGTTTTTACACATAGATGGCTGCACTTGTACTAAGTCACCAGTGAGCCAGTTATAATTACTGCCTGTCTCACCCATTTCCCCTTTTCAATGATTTATAAAAATATTTGGGTGCTTCATGCTCGGGGTGATGTTAAGCGATGGTGTGGTAGCCTAGTTAGTGTTGAGTACTTGCATGCCTTCTCGCTTACAGCTGCCACCGCTGGCTAGCCTGGTGCAAAAAGGGAGCAGCTTTGCATAAGACTCCCCTGCCAGCTCATAGCCTCTCCATCTTCAAGACTTCTGCAGTGCCTCCTCGTGGCCACCCATGGAAACTAGGCACCTTGTGGTCCTAGACTGAACTGTGGAGGCTCTTGGAGCAGCAGGAGGCCCTAAAGGTACGGAGTCATGGCCCACCGGCATGGATTCTGCCATATGAACTTTTGACCCAATTGCCCCGTTTGGCATCTAATCTTGCCATGCTCATAAGTGCCCCCAACCCATATGGTATCTAGTCTTGCCATGGCTTGTAGGAGCCACAAGTCCGTTTGGCATGTATTCTTGCCATGATGACTGATTGCAGACTGACTGCTTGTTGTTGTTCTGACCTAACAGATGTCACTGCTGATGGCTTTATGTGATTGGTTGATAATTATGTGACGTATGTAATTAATGACATGTAATCACGTGATTTGTTTAAACTAGATTGCATGATATTGACATACTTTAACCTGACTGGTTGGAATACAGCAATGGCTTTGATTGGTGGATTAGGTCAGATGGTGTAACCTGACTGGTTGCTAATCTGCATGTAAGGTCAGTCATGGGGTCATTTAAGCAGAACAACCTGCACCATGGAAGGAAAATGATCCTGGTCACTTTCACGCTCCCATGAACCCCAGCCTTTCACTTCAAGAGTCGAGCCACTACCTCTTAGTTCCTCAGAGGATGATCCATGTGCCTCAGATAAGTCCTAGGATGATTTTGAGGACTATAAAATGCCCAGCGATGATGAGCTGGATTATGTGTCAGCAAATGACACCATGCTTGATAGAAATGAGCCATTTACTCAGTATGCCATCAGAAGATTGAATAAAAATGCACCAGTGACTCCAAACTTCTCTTGGAGGCAAAGTGAAAATGTCCTACAATACTAATATTCAAGCGGCATTGTGGCATACTGGAGCAGCTGGATGAGGAATCCACGATTCTAGAGGTCTACATATCTTTTGTCACCAATGAATTTCTTGACCACATCACAGAGGAGACAAATAGGTATATTGAGTTGATACTCATATATTTATCCTCAGTTCTGTTATATTAAGGCAGTAAAGGTAATCAAGGTACCTACATTAACTAATTCTTCGTACTGTTTGTGTGCATATTTGCTGAGGTCAACGAGAGGACCCTAAGGCATGGCTGTAGGTGGCAGCCAATGCCCACTGTTGAGTTTCACCTATACCTGGCTCTGTGGTTGATGATGGGCCTTAACTATAAACCTTGTTTGGCCTACTATTGTTCCCAGAACCCAGGGTTCTATATGGAGGTTTTCCTGTCGACTATGCCTTGTGGGAGATTTGAGTAAATCTCTCGCAATCTACACTTCACTGACAAGGCAGTGCATGACAGGGAAGACAGTTTGTGGAAGCTGAGGCTGGTCTTGGACATCTTCAGGGCTCGATCCCAGGTGGTGTACACACCAGAGGGGAACATCTCCATCAATGAGTCCCTGTGGAAGTTCTGAGGCTGCCTCAGTTTTAGGACGTACAACCCAAGCAAGTGCGCTCGGTTTCAAGGTCAAGATCTAAAAGTTGTAAGCCAGTGAAAGTGTAGGTGCGGGATACACCTCTGTAGTACCGGTAGTTGATTTGATGGAGGCAGGTGGATTCTTCAACAAGGGGTATACCGTCTTCATGGACAACTGGTATACCTCTCCCTTGTTGTTCCATTACCTCCAGTCCCAGAAGACAGGTGCAGTTGGAATGGTAAGGTCAAACCGCCGCTATATGCCTGAGATCTAAAGGCGCAGAAATGGGATATGGATTTTCAAAGTTCCCAATTCAGGATGCTATGCCTGTCCTGGGTTGACACCAAACCAGTGCAAATGCTTGACATGATCCATACCTCTGTGATGATGCCGGCATATAGGAGATCTCGGCACATGGAGCTCCAGTGTATTGTGGAATACAACACAGGAATGATCTCAGTGATCAATTGCCTCCTCATACCCTTCAGTGAGAAGATCAATGAAGTGGTACAAGAAAGTGTTTTTTTTTATTTGTATTACCTGCCTACTATCAACAGCTTCTCGGTCTAAAAGATGCTGGAACATGTGGATCAGGTGGAATTCCGGGTTAACCTGGATATGTCTGCCATCAACCATTTCCTGCCACAACAAGAGCCTTACAGCACATGGGGGCAAGGAGGATAAGGCATGCAATGCGGGAGATACCAGGAAAAAAATATTGCCACAGGAAAATGACACGCAGAACCTGTGAGGAGTGCAGGGTACATTTGTGCATCTACGGGTACTTTGAGAACTACCATTCTCAAAAGAATACATGACTTTATATATTTTTTCCTATATATAATATAAAATGGTGATGGGTATAATTTGGTTTCTTGTTCTCCTTTATGCAATTCTATAACAAAAGACAGAGAAAACAAAGAACACAGTCTGAGCTCTCATACAGAAACAAAGCTACTTTTGAACATCAAAAAGGTGCTGATTTCACTTCAGCTTTTCTTCCTTTTTCAAGTGTCGTACAGAACAAAACAATCATCAATCTCTACAGCTTGACCTCTCATACAAAAACAAAGATGCCTTTGGGCATCAGAAAGGTGCTAGATTCTCCTGTTTCTCTTTTCTTTTCCTCCAAGTTTATATGAAAGAAGAAGAAAAGTTTCACTGCTTATGTGGATAAAACACAACTACAAAGGATCAAAAATTGTTGATGTCATTACCTAATATGGACAATTTAGAAGCATTTCAGTATCTCTATTCAATACAAAAAGCAAAGGGATGCCAAGAACACACCATGCAAAAAGTCTAATTTCTACACTTTCCTCATACATAATTGACAACAATCCTACAAAATCTGTGGACAGATTCCTGCAAAATTGATGTGACTGAAAAAATCCTGTAGTGGGGGTCCATGTGGCTAGCAGCTAATTCGGCGACAAGCGAAAAATTCTGGGGCAATTGGGTTATGATCACCTGCAACCTTGTGGGTACTTCCTGGCTGGTATTTGATTACATATTCAGTTAACCCAATGGCGCCGGGTGTAGAAGTAGAAGTAGAAGTAGAAGTAGAAGTAGAAGTAGAAGTAGAAGAAAGAAAAAGAAAAAGAAAAAGAAAAAGAAAAAGAAAAAGAAAAAGAAAAAGAAAAGAAAAGAAAAGAAAAGAAAAGAAAAGAAAAGAAAAGAAAAGAAAAGAAAAGAAAAGAAAAAGAACAAGAAAAAAAAAAAAAACTCTACGCTCTGGCAAACAAAGGCGGCGCACCAACTTTGAGCACGTGAGTAGGGTACATCAGCCTGAATCACTGGCTCGCCGCGGCGTACAGCCGCACGCCAGCTTTCGAGCGGTTTGTTTTCACGTCGATCGGCGTCACCCGGTGTTAAGGGGTTAAGCAAAAGATGTTAAATGTGAAGCAGCATGATTCCTGACTTGTAAGCCTAGCTGCTGGATTATTAATATATGTCAAGATAAAAAGATGGCTTATAAAAATTAGCAAGAATAAAAGCCACAGTAAATGTGTTTAAATACAAAGTTTAAAACACAAATATCTTGTATAGGTCAATGTTTACATCTGAAAGTCACTGTATGGCTACAGACTGTTCCGTTCAAATGTATTCTTTGTACCGTTCAAATGTATTCTTTGTAGCGCACAAAAGTATTTCATATTTTCCAATGGACCTCAAGGATGGTAGATAAGAGAGGATCAGTCTTTTATGTTAACCATCTCATCTTCATTTCAAGTTTCTTGTGAAGGAAACAAGTGTGATTGAGGTGATTGGCAGAGGATTGTCATGCATTCAATGTCCAATGTTATGTTATTTAAGGGGATCAGTCCTGGGGGTGGAATTATCATTTATCAGAAAATGTTTAGAGAGAGAGAGAGAGAGAGAGAGAGAGAGAGAGAGAGAGAGAGAGAGAGAGAGAGAGAGAGAGAGAGAGAGAGAGACTGACTTGCACATGCACTTGAGCACTTTGTCTCAAAGTTTCACAGTAATATTTTTTAAAATAATAAAACTACAACTAATTTTGTTACCCTTTGCTTCGTGTATGAATACACATGGTATATAGAAATATTATAAAAAAAAAAAAAAAAAAAAAAAAAAAAAAAAAAAAAAAAAAAAAAAAAAATTTCAAATACACATATGAACTTCGAATTTTTGTACAAGTATACATATTTTGGAATTCTTGTTTCTATTTAACATAACCTTAACCCAATGGCGCCGGGTGTACAAAAGAAAAAAAAAACTCTACGTTTAAACAAACAAAGGCCGCGCGCCGACTTTGAGCACGTGAGTAGGGGACATCAGCCCGAATCACTGGCTCGCCGCCGGCTCGTTTGGCTGCACGCCAGCTTTCGAGCTCTTTGTTTACACGCCGATCGGCGTCACCCGGCACCAAAGGGTTAATTTCATGTAGGAGTTTCTTATATTTTTTGTTATTTTGGAAATAAAATTTTGAAACCCCTACCATGAAAAACTGAAACATGACTAATGTTGGATCCACAAAATGTTAGTGATAAAAGAGTGAAATTGAATAACTATGTGACATATAAGCTAATATCAGCTATCGGCTTGTTCATTGGCTGCGGGGAACAAGCCATCAACAAATAGCTTTAGTTCACTGGTGTGAATGCTGGGCAGGCCGATGTGTGCTTAAAGTAATATTTTGTTCTTCCTTTTTAAACCTTTAACTCATCTACCATTAGATTCACTATATAATAAACTACACAACTAGTTACTGGCCAACAAAACTTTCCAGCTACCACATGCACAGATACATAAATACATATACATGTAAAAATTTGTATTTACATATACAAATACACTTTGATCACTTCTTCACCATATTCTGTTTTCATCATAACACATAATAGTGCTTTTTAATCCCAAGTTTACTTAACTATTTCACTAATACTAAATTTGTTTTAACCCAATGGCGCGGGGTGTACAAAAGGAAAAAAAAACTTTATGCTCTAGCAAACAAAGGCGGCGCGCCGACTTTGAGCGCGCAAGTACGGGACATCAA